ACCCCCAAACAGCCAGACTCAGAACCAACCCACTGGAGTAAACAGCTGGAATAGCTTTCCAGATTCAACTAACACTGTTCGGGAGGTTTTACAAGCACTGTAATTTATTTCAATCCTCCTGAGTACCAGTGAAGGCAGCCCTCCTCTTGTCCCTGATTATTAACCAGGAAGGAAATCCTAGAGGAGAGACTGGTCCAAGATGACCCTGGGCAGACACCGGGTACCCGGCACTCTGATCAAATCTCACGTTCCTTTCCTGCCTTGGGCTGCCCCCTTGTACTCACTGGCCAGAATAGGAAGGTCAGGGAGACAGGAAGTATAGTCAGTAGAGAACCCTGGGCTCCTGTAACAAGTCACTCCCAGCCAGCTCCGGGCCGCCGATGGAGGTGCTGCAGGCAACTGTGAATCAGGACTTCTCAGCCTTGGCTGTCAAAAGACCCCCCTTTGAAAGGCTTTTCCTTGCTATCCACCGGTGGGAATTAGGTCTAATGAAATAATAATGAACAAAGGGAAGCTGATCAGAGAAAAGATACAGTCCCACATAAATTCCATTCTTTATTAAAATACAGAAATACTTTTTACAGCATCAACAGAAAATACTGCATTGTCTTGGAATCTTAAGATTTAGAAATTTTATTGAATCACTCTCAGGCCCACAATACACTGTACTAGAAAAAAAATACTGTATCAAAAATAAAAGCAAAAGCACCCCAAAATATTAAAATCATTAAGGCCAGCAGTGTTTACTTAATGAAACTACACATCTGACTATAGGATACCTACTAGTCACTATTTAAAGGAATATATTAAAAATAGATCTCTACATAATGAAAGAATTGACCCGAAGGGAAGAGCTCACATACAATAACAAAAAGGCTTTGAAAAATTAAAAACACAGTTTGATATGGTGCTTATATATAATCGTCTATTTGTTAAAACACTGTACATTGCAAAAAATGAGCACATCGACCCACTCCTAAAGAACATGCTTGCTCGGAGCCTGCTTATTGCAAAGAGAGATCTGTAAATATATGCGATAAGAATACATATATGTTTATACACAGATAATTATCTGTATGAACAGCATGTGATGCAATTAAACTAGAGGATAAATAACTTTAATAAACTACATTTTGAGGCGCATGAGGAATAAAATTCATATTCTTTCTAAGTTATGGACACAGCATCTTTTCTTCCCCCTGTTTTTTGTACCTTAGTGTAATGCTTATTTGCATTTAACCTAGTTATCTTATGTTTGCATGCTTTGCAAACTGAATTACAGAACCAAATTGCCTATTACAATTTACCATTATGTGACACAATTACATAGGAACACTTTGAAGGGAGAGGGTTCTCCCGATATTAAGAAACACTGATTACATCATGCTTACAAAGAACAAATATTAAGGAGAGGCTCTTTCCCAGGTGACAGAGTTTGCTGCTCTTTGTCTCCAGTGTAAATGCTGTTCCCCATTACAATGAGTTTTATTCATTGATTTCTGGTCTGCAAAATTAGATCCATTGAAATTTTTAAAAAGAAAGAAAAAAAAAAAGCTAGGCCCTAAAACTACACCATTTCCTAAGCTCAAAGCTCCACACTCTCCAAGCACTTCTAAATAAAGCATGGAATTGAAGTAATGTTCCAGAATTCCATTATGTCCACAAAAAGTGAAAGCACAATGAATTTCCAAGTATTTAAAGTACCTGTAATACACATACCAGGCCCTCCTTGCATGCACATGTGCCTCGGCACGAACAAATGATGCATAAACTTTCACTGGATGGCCTTTATCTCAAATTGCTAAACCCAATCATAAATACACACATGAATATGCATACACACACCCTTTTAAAATCTTTAATTAGAAGGGAGGGAGACCATCTAAGGCAATGCAATCAACCCTATTTTTCTTTTTTTTCCTTTTTTTTTTAACCCTATTTTAATTTTACCGAGATGGGGAGATGACCTGTTTGTACCCTTGGTTTCTGGCTCTTCCATGCAGTGCATGGTTAAGGACAGAAGCTTTACCAGGAAAAGGGTTCAGCTGCCACTCTCCCAGGTGGAGAGAGATCAGAAAGCCTCCTGCGTGGGCATAGCAGGGTAGAGAAGTAGAATAAAGACGTGGAAACATGAGATCAACTGAGCCTGAGTTGAAAGAAAGAATCTGACAATAAATCCCTCAACTTACAAAACAAAAGGCATAACATTTCAATCATCATCATTCAATCTCACAGGCTTGGAGAACATGGATTTCCACTTGCTCAGATGCCCTTGTTATTTAGCAAGAGCCTTGTCAGATAATTACAGCCTGGCCTAGCTAGGAAAACAAAAACCTTTTGGCCCAGTGACGCTTTGTGATATTACAATGGCACTTAATTAACAAAAAGTTTTCGCTGTTAGTGTAAAGAAAAAATGGCAACAGAAGACAATTATCATGAAATGATTTTGTTTCACCCATTTTTGTTTAGTTTTATTGTGTGTGTATAGAATAAAAAGCTACTTTATCTGCAAATGTACTTAAAGGAGAAAATATATTAATAAAATTACATCTAGGTATACGCAGGAGAGAAACGCTGTAATCAACCAATGTCTATAAAATGGAAATATTTGCTATATAAAGCAACGGATCTTTCAACATTTCTGGAGGATGAGATGAGAGGAGCTCATTTTTGTTTTTTAAACCTCAAGTGATCAAAGGTATAGCTGGAAGATGACAGCAAATTAAATACTGTGGTTTTGAATATGATGGATAATAAAAGAAATTAAAGTCCTTCAAATTCTCACACTTAGGCACAAACACTTTCAGGTTCTGTGGTGGAAACAAGTTTGACTTCTAGGAAGACCTTGAGGGTGTGTGATTGTGCTGGATAAAGGCCAGGAATAGAGCATCCCCTTTTCAGAATTTTGCTGCCTTTCTCTCTCTTCTAAACCACATTTTCCTTTGAGAAATATATCATTGTCTTTCCCTACCCAGACTTACTATTGCACACTTCTCAGCAGACTTGTGAATGTCTAAAAACAAAACCTTACCCCAGAATGCTTTTGAGATAGGTCATCCTGCCTCATCTTTGATCCGGGCTGGCCCTCCTCGTTTACACTGAGGCACTGGACTGGCTTTGGTCATGGGGGGTGCAGTCAGTGTTAAGTGGGTCTGGACAAAGCTACATGTTCCATAAAGAACTGTGGAACGATCGGAATTGCTACTGGATGTCAGAGTGACCCATGCAGATTGCAGGAGGCAGCGTGGCTGGGAGAAACAACTCATGCTTTTCAAGAGGTATGTCAGATTGTCTCCAGGTCACTTGGCTCTTGACCTTCAGGACTGAATGAGGAGGAATCCCTAGACGGTTGGGCATTTGGGCCTGTGCTTAAGGAAGGTTGATGAATTGTATCAGGGAGATGTCTGGGTGAGTCACAGAATGAAGCATTTAAAAAGGATAGGACTCAAATGAAAATAAAAATAAAAGGAACGGGATTCTTGTCCCCAAACTCAAGGACAGACTGAGAGGGCTAGACCTTGAGAAATGGAAAGATCAAGTGGAGATCAGGTCGGGAACATGACAGAGCTGAGGAATGCTGTGGGTGGGTAATGAGAGGACAGTGGAAGGCAGGCAAGGGTCAGGACTGCTGGACCAGGGAGGGAAGAGACTAACTGTTAGTTCTTTATTTCTCTCTCCACCCCCGTCTCCTTCCCAAAAAGCATTTGAACTAGTGGAATGGAGAAAAACAGAAAGGAGTAAACAAAGAATTACAGAGGAAGGAAGGAAGGAAGGAAGGGAGGGAGGGAGGGAGGGAGGGAGGGAGGGAGGGGGGAAAGAAGGAAGGGAAGGAAGTTAGGAAGGGAAGGAAGAGAAAGAAAAAAAGAAAGAAAGGGTAGAAACAAATGAGAAAGGATGGCAAAATCATGCTTAGGTGGCTTTGAGGAAGAGTTATGGGCCCATGAGAGAAGAGTATAAGAAAGTATCTAGATGAGGTCAGACAGGGAGAGAAGCAGAAGCTACAAGTCATAAAACACGAGAGTGAGGAGCCAGCAGCCGCACTGATCTTTGCTGAGAGTAACTACTGTCACTGCCTTTAAAGGTCACTTGGATGCCCCTTCCTTTTCCTGCTGAGGAGATGGGGCTACGGGGTGGGTAATGCAGAGAGTCGTTTCTTTTGCACTGCCCCATCATCTGCCCTCACAGAGTTATGTGGGACGCAGGGGAGATGACATGGAGAAGGTCCTACACTGGAGATGAGCTGTCCAGGTGTTCCTATTGCTTCTTCCTCCCAATTCCTCTGGATTTGGGGGCTCTAGGTATAAAAACAGGGTCTGTATACTTGCATATACTCACGATATACTGAGGTTACCATGCCCAAAGATACAGCGAGATTACTTTAAAATGAACATGGTGGATGTTATACATCCCGATGATGCTGCCCTTCAAAGCTGTCTATGCATTGCAGCTCCTTATACCAATGCCTGCCTAATATATTTAAGTTGAGAAATGAATTGTGGCTGTTCTTGCTCGAAGTTTTGGACCAACTGAGGAAACACACAAGGAAAAGACAAACTAATGAGTATGGAGAGATGCCTTTTAAAATCTCAAATGGATTACCGGACACCACCCCAGTGGCTTTGGCTTGTTCTGAAAAGAAAAAAACATCCACTCCCAAGGGACGATGGTACGCTTCCAACCACACTTTGAAAGGAAAGTGTTCTGGCTTCTAAAGATGACCCCAGAAGAGATGAACTAAAAAATATCTGGGCAGTGATAACATCCTTGGAATACGTGCCCAGGCTTTTAAAGGTGATTTCCTTGAAGGTGGAACACTAAATTTTGGTGTGGTTATGAAAAAAAAAAAAAAAAATTGGTCCTATGATTGTTTTACATAACCACTTGGGAAAAGAGAGAAGTCCCAGATATTTCTGAATCTGCTCTCAAGGACGGAGATGGGTAAAGCATGGCAGAGGACAGGGGAAGGTTCTCTTCTATGCATCTCCTACAGGCTGTGTCTTCTCGAACAGGCTTGCTGCATCCGCATGTATGACAGAGTGGCTTGTGCGGGAGGCCCAGTTTGGCGGACTTGCCCTCTCCAAGGTGAGTGAGGTTCTGGAAGTGCGGGGGGTCATGGAAAGAACTTACCTTCCTGTGCAAGTTTACCCATAGATGGAAACTCTCATTTGTGAGAGGTGTCACAGATTGTGAAGGAGGAGGAAAAGATGTTTTAAAAGTAAAGCTGTAAATACTACTCTCTAATGCTTGCAATAGACCACAAGGCCAATCGGAATGTGAGATCTTAAGACAAAGGGAGGCAAGTGAAATGCAAGTCGGTGACTGCAGAGGTTGGGAGAGCCAGGAAATAAAAGGCCACATGCTCTGCTTTGGCAATTCTCCTTTCAATAAAGATAATGGGGTTCAAAGAGAAATTAGTGGCTTTTTGACAAAAATATGAAAACTGGTCACACGTGTTCATTTAGTTCATTAACAAGGTGCCTTTTTTATGGCAAGTGCTATGAAAGGTGCTAGCTAATATCTACTTTTTCCAAGCACCGAGATTTAAGTATTTTTATAGAGAATCTGCTCCATAATCCAGAATTTTATGTAAGTAAGCTACATAAACTCCATGTTTTATTTAGTTTGGGGTCTGATTTCTAAATCATTGCTAGATAGTTCTTCTGATTAAGACAAAATGTCCCAGAAAGCAAAATCTCCCTTTGCGATCCCTCTCAAACATCCCCCAATTCCCACTTCTGGTTGCATGAACTCACAAATACACACTCACTCGTGAATGCACATACAAGCACGAAATGTAACTTGGGCCTGGGGTCATAACTGTGTCACTCTTTCATACCGTCAGGGCAGACCATGTTTATTTTTCTATCATCGATTATAACTTATTTTTATCTAAACTAAAGCTTTCTTAGTTCATCATATCACTAATGAGTACAATTAAGAGATAGGCCCTCAGCATCTCATAGCATTTTCTTCACAGTTAATGAAGTGCATGGTCTTACAGATCCATTCACACAATCCATCCACTCCTCTCCTGCCCACGTGCTCAGGTAACTCACATGCCTATGTGACCACAGCCAGATTCACAGCTGCACTGAAGATTCTCCCAGGACCCCCTTTTGTGCATGTGTGAGGCCACAAGAATTTCGCTAGTTCTTCATGACAGGGCTGATGAATCTGAGGGCCATGACCTAGCTAAGTTCTACATTTATATAAAGTGTCTGCCCCCTATCCTCATGTAGCAGAGCTGGGATCTACTTGCCAATGTCGATTTGGATTTAGGTGCGGTTTACTGCATGGGCGAGCTCTGTTAAAAAGAGAAAGATTGCAGAGTTGGCTTCATCTCAAACGTCTGTGTGTGATTCACAGACATCTGTGTCTCCCTGAGAAATAACTTTTTCATAACCAGAGCTGTCCAACAGAGAAACAAGCCACTTCCTATGGGAGTGAACTCCCCCTAATGGGAAGTAGTCGGGCACAGCTGTTTCTCAGGGCTGTGGGGAAGGCCATCTAGCACTGGGTGGGGAGGCAGAGCCTTCCTGAGATTTGGGGATGCTACATTTATGATGGAGGTGGCGTCCAGTCACACGGGTGACGGGGAAAGGGCACTCCATTAGGGTCTGCTCTTGCACGGTGAGCTGTTCGGAAAAGCAAGGCACCAGGTGGGTTCCAAAGTAGGATCTAACGGAAGACGTTTGTGTTGGCCTTTTGAGTCAAGCATCGGTGCGTGGAATGAGCTCTAAGGCTCAGATAATACGGTGGAACGACAGAGCAGAGCGTGGTGGGCTGGCAGCCCAGAGCAAGTCTGAGTGGTATACGGAGACCCTTTGGACAGAGAGATGCTGCAGTCCCCACACTGGCTGACGTCGTCACTATTTGATCACCTGCTGAGCCACCTCTTCGCCTTTGGATGTGTCTCCACTCCTCTCCTGCCCACATGCTCTTAATATCGACTCCGGGTATGGCATCCTCACCTGGTGGAAGGCGTCATTCTTAAGTTCTGCTTTCTGCTCTTCCCCTGGAGGAACTCAAGCTCAGTGCTAAGTGAGGAGAACCGCCCTCAGGCTCTGTATGTAGGATTTGAAAAGCACAGGTCTGGGGGCCTGCTTGAGGAAGCAGGGAGTGAAGAAGAGCAAATCTCCCTCTAAAAATGTGCTTTTGCCCAGAACTGTTTCTAAGTTAGGGGAATTTCCTGAAGTCTGAGAGAGCCAGAGTGAACGTTCTTCTTAAGTACAGCGTTTTGGTGAAGTCCATGTGTGATAATACCACTGTAACCACAAAGGAATTTACCACAGGAAATATCCCAGCTGTTGCTTATTAGCATTAGAACAAATTACACAAAGCAAATTGTTAGCAGATATGTTTCCATAATATTTAACTGGTGGCAATAAATAAGAGAGATTCTCCTTCAAGTAAACGTTAGACTTTCAAAAATCCAGCTTCCAGTTGTCCACGAAGGAATCGTCTTCGATTGGGGTAACCACTGGAGGGAAGGACTCCTTGGAAGCTGGGGCTCGCAGGGCTCTTCCCTGGACAGCACAGCCCGAAGTGGTGCTGGAAGCTGAGTGGCTGTGAGTGCAGCGGGGCGTCGGCCCTGGGGTGACATCACAAGATGGAAACCGGAATGGCGGCATCTCTAGACGTCTGACCATCTGCGGGATTCACCTCTGGGCTTCTCAAGTGGCCTTCTCATGCCACCGGGCATAGGGGACATAGCAAGACCACAGCAGAGCTGGGCAACCACTCGGTTCTTGGAGTGTGTTTATAACAAAAAATAAACCACATCCACCGACAGGCTTTCTTTCAGGCCTTAACAAAACATTGCAGCTTTACAAAGTTCATCTAGTCCCTCACCATCCCATGTCTTGTTATCAGAGGTTAGAAAAAAAGGTGAGTCCAATCTCTTCATCCTGTCACCCCTCTAGGGAAGAGCTGAAGAAGTGCCCTGTCAGAGCATTTGTCACCTGCTCACACGTACGAAAACCTGGCTGGGTAGAAATAAAGCAGAATACTTCCATCTTTCAAGACCTTCCGGCAGTGACTAAACTCCAGTCCTTGGTCACCTCCGGGCATTTCCAGTTATCTCCAGAGAGATGACAAATTTCTCCTCAAGCAATCTCAAAAAATCATTTAAAAAATGACTTTAATTTTAAAAAGTAAGAAAGATTCCATACAGCACATAAATACAAAAATAGGTTATTGCAGCTTCAGGGGTTGGGATTGTGAGAGGAGGTGCTCTTTCATCGTTTTCCTAAGAAATTTATAGTTGTGTCTTCCTTCTCTCACCGGTTTCCTTCTCAAGCAAACCAACCTTAGCTCAGGACTCCTTCCCAATAGATTTAAATAGCGTCTTTGGTTCTCCTGAGGAGCTCTTCGCTCCTTCCTGATCAAAGGGGAAAAACCTTGGCCGCGCTGCTGAAGAGAAATGGTGGGAGCCTGGTGAACTCTCTGGTGGGCACTAAACAAGGCGCTCAAGACGTCTGTTCCCTGCCCCGCGGCTCCCCGCCCTGGGGGGGCGCTAGGCAGCACCTGAGGGAGGCCGGCCCAGAGCCCGGCACCGTCCCCAGCGGCCTCCAGGGCGCACCCTGCTGGCAGGAAAGGGGATACCTCGTCCCAACCGCCGAGAGCGGGTTCTGCCTCCCAAGTTCCAAACTGGGGAGGCATTTTTTTTTTTTTTAAGATTTTATTTATTCATAAGAGACAGAGAGAGAGAGAGAGGCAGAGGGAGAAGCAGGCTTCCCACTGAGTAGGGAGCCCGATGCGGGACTCGATCCCAGGACCCTGGGATCATGACCTGAGCCGAAGGCAGACGCTTAACCATCTGAGCCACCCAGGCGCCCTGGGGAGGCATTTTAAACCAAGCAAAGCGAATAGCTGACACGCTCTCAGCCTCTTCCTTAGGCTCTTCCAACCACTGTGTTAGGGGACACACACACACACACACACACACACACACACCCTACATCTTTTACCTGAAGTCTTCACAAAGGGATTCATGTACTTATGAAATATTTAAAATGAATTTAGGCAATAGAATTGTCTCTAGATTTTTTTTTTAAGTGTTTAACAGAAACGGGTGATTGGAAATGTCTGGACACGAACACACACACCCACACACTCTAATTTGGAATTATGCAAAACTATATCATTATTCACCACAACCTGAAACACAGCTACCGCAGTGGAATAACAAGTACCGTATCCTTACAAGGGTGAGGCTCCCAAAATAAGCTCACATTTGGACGAGAGTGACACACATGGCCTGACTCTTGAAGGTCCATTTAGAAGAAATGGCCTGGCATGTTTTACATTTGCTGAGCTATTTAGCTGCCTGGTTTGACAAGATGTTTGAAAGGGGTGAAAATTAATTATAATTGCAGTATTGCTACAATAATTTTGTTGGCTAATTGCATTTCAGTGCAAAAACAGGCAAGGAGGAATTTCCTCCCTGGGTTATTTTCTGATATGGCAGATTCATTTTAAGAGTAATGAGATTTTTAAAAAGTCAAACCTTAAATATCATGGCTTCAGCAATCTGTCCTGCTTAAAGTTTAATGCAAAATGAGATCGCACCTCCGTGAGAGCAGTTACACGTGAACATGGATCCAGTTTTCTCCTAGACTTGAGATGAGAAAAATCTCTCTCCCCTGGAAACTACTCAAAGTATCTCTTTGACATTGTTTGGGGATGATTTTAATTTGGGAGCACCAATGTTCATGCCTTTGTAGTGAGAGAGGCACTGGTGAGGGTGGGAAGGAAGTTTTGAAAGTCAACGAGGTATATGTTGATGAAAGAGGCATGACCAGTTTCAGAGGACTGAGCAAAAAACAGCCGATGGGCTGTCGTGGGGTTTTCTAGATCTCACTATTTTCACACTGGCAGTTCTGAATACATAAACTAGCCGTGGCCTTTTGAGGGGACTGATCTAACTCCAGACCATCCATGAGCACTCATAATGAACAAACTTTGAGGGGCAGAGTCATTTTGTCACTTTAGAATCTTGGAAGACTCTGTCCCCGAGGCCTGATTCAAGGTAGGATTGTCAGGTGCTGAAAGCAACAGACACTAAGCCCTTCAGCAACCTGATGACTCAAGCTCAGGTCGGTAAGCAGGGGTAGGATGTGGCCCTCCTTCCCATCTCTGTCATGCTTTAAGTCCAGCCACCATTTGTGTGCCTAAAAAAGGATTTTGCTAGGATGTGCTTTCTCAAATATTGCTCGTCAAAGTGGGTCTAACAGCATGGCATGGAATCTTCCTTATGGTCTTCCTCCAAGTTCTAACTGATTTACAGAAGATCAGTATGCAAATCTAGCCTGGTTGGCCTCAAGGCTGCACAGCTCCTGTCCCGCACAAGGGCACCCAGTTGAGGGGGAGGGGGAGGAAATCCCCCCCTGCTCCGTTCATCACCTGAGACCCCCTGCTTGGCTGCATCCCCGGAGAAAGGTGTGCTTTTTCTAATTTGCATTTGGGCCAAGGGGGACCCTGAGTTTTCTTTGATCCTCGCCCTCCCAGAGATTGCAGAGTCTAGTATTCATCTCCTCATCTCTAACACTGTGGATGTTTTTAAGGAAGAGGATATGCCCATGGCAAAGGTGAATTCATTTTGAAAATGTGTTTCCTCTTCAGCAAGGGAGGACGAATAAAAGAAAGAGGGAAAGAGAGGAAGGAGAAGGATAAAAAGAATGGAGATGAGGTTGCCCTCTGCCTCGTAAACTGGGGACTTGTCCTTCCTTGGACACAGCTGCAAAGGGGTGAAAAATCGATTTTTTCCTATTACTCCACGGCGAGGAAGGAAAACCTATTTGTAAATGGAATTAAACCCAATAACAGCATGTCTGTGTATTTGTTGAGAACTAGAAAAATTAGCCAGCGGTACAACTACACAATCCAACAATGTAACAAGAAATCAACACTCTCCCATTTGAAAGCTTATCTGAGACACTTTTCTAAATTTTTTAAAGAAACACCCATGGGCTAAACGTCACTAAGACTCTTCAACGTGCCAACACATCAACACCCCAGTAAGGACTCTGAAAGGGAAGGAACTCCAAAGCCCCATCTGGGAAGAACGTACTTCCAAATTTTTGCCTTTGCTGCTTGGGCATCTCAGTCAGTCAATAATGACTGGATATGAACTAGAACGTTCTAGAAGATAGTTTCTTCCCCAAGTTGCAATCTGTGGTGCTGACTGTGGAAGAAATTCTCCATGTCTGTGTGCTAGATCTTGTTCACAGAGACCCTAACCCGACCACTGAGTACTAAATCAGCAGGCTGCCGCTGGGAGGGTCCTGAAACTTCATTAGCAGTCTGCCCTCTAGTGGGACAACACAGTACTTCGGATAACTAGGAATAGAAAAAGATTTTTTTCTTCTCTTTCAGAGAGCAAAAGAATTCAAGTTTTCCAGATAGTGCAAGGTGAGGAGGCATGTTTCCTCAGAAGACAGCTTCCAGAGCTGAATTAAGCAAGGCTCACAATGACAGGTCCCTGGGGCAGAGTTAAAGACAGGTGGTGCTATGGTGGAGTCCCTGTAGAGACAAAGGTCTTTCTTCTCACATCCTTGGAACCCTCCATGGTTCTCCGTGGGCTATAGCATTGGGTTCCCTGATCTCTCATCATAAAAATAGGACCCATTCTCAGAACAACCAACCTATAAAAATGCTAAAATAATAGGCTTTTCCATTATTTTTTTTGGCAAATCATTAACACAGAGGAGCCTTTCAAAAGGGCCATGTTGAATTTTTTTTAAAGGCAGAGATGCACAAGTTTTATAAAAAGACCCAGTCTTTGTGGCTGTTATTTTTCAGGAGAGAATCCATTTTGTGATGGTGCTGGATGTTGGTAAGGCAGAAGATGATCTTGAGACCTGTTGTCTGGACTTCGCTTCTATCTTTGTAAAAACCTTCAGAATTTGGCTTGCTTCAGTTTATCAATATGGTAGCAGAGTTTCAGCGCGGGTCCCAGTTTCAGACCCAAGTACTTCATGATCATATCGCTCTTCAGCAACAAGAGTGCATTGCCATCAATCTCCTGGTGGAACAGGATCAGAAACAAGAAAATCCAGAAGATGGTCAGATTTATCAAACAGTGGCTACGGTTAACAGAGGGTCAGGGGATGAGGTAAGGGAATATGGATTCACTCAGGCACACATTCTCTTAGTCCCAAGGCAATATCTTCTTTTAAAAAATAAAGCAAACAAATACTGTGTTCCTCTTCCCATAATCTCCCTGAGGTCATACGACACACTGGATTTTTCATATTCCTGCTCCCGATTGAAGGAACAAAACATAAACCCCAGTTATGTTCCCAATATGCCCCCTGTGATGTTTATCTCCTTATCTGCTTTAGGGCTAAAGGAGCAAAAAGTTTGCAATGGACTTAACGTTTGTGTTCCTCACCCAAATTCAAATGTTGCAATGCTACCCACCCCCCATGTGACGGTATTTGAAGGTGGGGGTTAGGCCAAACTAGAAGGCAGGTCAGCCTGAGTTCAAGCCCCAGGCCGATGTGATGGTATTTAGAGGTGGGAACTTTGGGAGGTCATGAGGTCATGAAGGTGGAGCCCTCAGGAATAGGATTAGTATCCTTCTACAGCAAGATGGCAGTCTGCAACACAGAAGGAGGCTTCCCACCCTGATCTTGGACTTCCAGCCTCCAGAGCTGAGGAATACATTGCTCTTGTTCATAAGCCAGCCGGTCTACGGCCCTTTGTTATAGTAGCCTGAACAGACTAAGACAAAGTGTCATCCATCAGCTGGACCCTGAAACTAGCAATGACCCTTCCATTTCAGGTGCTGGTATGAGGCCTTGGTATTCTTTCCATCACCCTAATCTCTTGTTTCTTTTCTTGGTAAGCCCACCGACCTTGAGCTGATTACCAAATTGCTAATTGCACTTGATGAGGGATTTCAGGTGTTTGGCCCTGTTAATAATACCAGGTGGCATACAACTAAATAATGCACCTGCTTCATCTCAGGGTTTAGCACAATGAACTACTAAGGGGATGCCAGCCCCTTGAGGTCGTGGTATCATTCCCATTTGTCTCTGAAAATGGTGACCCTCCAGAACACATGTTCGATTCATGAACCTAGTAAGGCTCGGTTTCCTCACTCACCCATACTGTTATTTTCAGGTCACAAGAGACAAAGATAGTTTGGGTGCTCAGGTCAGGGGAAGAGGCAGTTACAGGACTCCTACAACTATGTGAGGGCCCCCCTGCCCCTCTCATGCATCTAGCCAGCCAGCCAGAAGCACCCACTTTGTATCACTCACTCTCTGTGTCGTTGGCAAAATGGCAGAGTGGGCAAATCTCATCTGTGAGCCTAATCTTCTCTCTTCCCCCCACCTCCTAGACTTCCACCATCCCCTACCACTCTGGAAGACAGCCAGACTCTTCCCACTCAGATCCGTCTCAACGTAACCCTCTCTGGGGTCCTTGTTCTCAAGGCTCCCCTGTCCAGTGACATCAGATATATCACTAATGAAATGTGAGGGTCTGGTTAGAGGAGTCTCCCCAGATCTGAGAACATGGTTTCTATGACAGAATCACCAAATAAAAGTAAGAGACAGGAGGAGGAATCATGGTAACTGTGGTAGGCCAGAATGACGCTCCCTCGCTTCCCCCCCCCCAAGATGTCTACGTCCTGCTCCCTGAAGCTGGGAGTATGTTAGGTTACCTGGCAAAAGGCAATTAAGGTTGCTAATGAGCTGGCTTTAAAATAGGGGGAATACCCTGGATTACCGGGTGGGACAGACAGTGTAATCACCAGGATCCTTAAAAGTGGAAGAAGAAATCAGAAGAGAGAACCGGAGTTGGCAGCCTGGGAAGGACTCGCCTGATGCTGCTGGATTTGAGGACAAGGGCCGAGCCATACAGGGCCAAGAAATGAGGGTGGATCCCGATGTGGGAAAAGGCAGGGAAACGAATTTTCCCTCGAGTTTCCAGAAAGCAATTGTCATCCCTGCAGACGCCTTGACCTCAACCCACTGAGACCCTGGTCAGACTTGTGACCCACTGAACTGGAAGATGATAAGTCTGTGTTGTTCTAAGCTAGATGTTCGTGGTAACTGGTGACAGCAGTAAATGGAAACCTGGCAGAGTAAGCTGGGCAGATGCAGTATTAATTACTACCTACCTACTTCTTTTTTCATTTACCATCTTTATATATTTCAGATTCTCCTAGTTTTGTGAATACGTGTGAACGAAGGCTAGCTACAAGCCAGGCACCGTGCTGAACACCTGACGGGCGTCTTCTCATCGAATCCTCCAAGCAGCTTAGGAATCTGTGCTATTACAGTTCGCCTGGCATATTGTACGTGTGCTATAAATGTCGAATGACCAGCCAGACGGATGGATGGGCAGGAAAACAGGCACTCCTAATAAAGGCCAAAACGAGGGAACAGATGGGACAAATATCCCTTCTTAAAAACAAAACTATGTGGTTGTTCTGCTCTGAGAAGCCTGTGGCTCCATCTGGCCTCCCCAGCGCTTAGTTTAGCCCACCCCCTTCTGCAGTCCCGGGGCTGCCTGACCCTCAGCCTTCGTGCAGCCCTCCCCCCCCCACCCACTCCGGGGCCGGGCCCACCCTGCGCCTACGTGCTTTCTGAAGAGCTCCACGTGCGGACCCAGAGCCTGCGGGTCAGCGTCTTTCACGAACCAGACCACATCCTCCACAGTCCAGGTGCACGGGTTCCTGCTCCTCGGCCGCCTGGTGTCCTGCCCGTCGGGGGAAGGGCTCGAGGCTGGATGGGTGGGCACAGAGAAGAGCATGAGACACGGGGACGAGGGCCTCCCCGCCTCCCCGGTGCCGCCTGCTCCCACCTGGCCCGAGTGACCTTCTGCGCCAGAGGAAGGCTGGGAGTGGCCGCTCGCCTCGGGAGCCTGGAGCACGGGGAGGCCACTCCCGGAGGCAGAGCCTTCCATCCGTGCACAAGTCCTCTGTTCTCCCAGGGAGTAACGTGTTAGAAAATGGATCTCCTTCAACAGGCTGCGATTCTGATCCACGCTTGAGTTTTAAAAACCCCTCCTGCTCAGCTTTGTGTCAGAGCCCCTGGCCTCCCGTAGCCGGGTCCTTGGTGACCTGAGAAAGCTGGCTAAGATCAGTGTCCCTGTGGGCCCCTCCTGCGCTGGGGGGCAGGAACAAATGCAGCTCCTCCCTGCCTCCCCGGGGACACCGTGACCATAGAGAAGTGGCCGAGCTGAGGTGCATTTGGGTCCTTATTCGTGGTCTCTGCCACCCATGCTTGGAACCCCTGTCTGTGAGGGCCCCGAGCAGAAAGGAGAGGTGGTCTTGCCACTCCAGGCGTGCCCTGAGTGCCTTCACCACCCCCTGCTCTTCAGAGCACGTGCTCCAATCTACCCCTCAGCCTGGGAACCCCTTGACAGCCAAGGGCCTACTCCTGTGCCTGGTGCGTAGCTGGTCCTTGAACAACGATGACCGCAGGAGTTGCACTGTTGCATCCGGGAGTCTCCCGCATGGCAGGTTAAAGCTCATCCTCCTTCCCCTGCACCAGCTTCTCCCCCCGCCCCTCAGGTTTCTGAAACCACAGTGATGTCTCTGCTTCTACCTCTATCTCTAGCATTCCTTATTCGCTCCCCACATGAATTATTCTAAAGCTCTTAGAAGGAAGCCTCTCACACAGGATCCTCCCTTCCATCCTGCTTCCCCTAGCTGGGAACCTTTTACCCAAACCCCTGCAAAGGTTTTCTATGGGCGTCCTTGCCCTGGGATCTCTTCCTTCAAGAGCAAAACTGTCTACTGCCTCAACGCTTTCCCCAGACCCAGCTCTGTCTGTGCCCCCTTGTGAATGTCCCTTGCCTACTATGCACGGACTCCAGAGTCCACAGTCTAGCTCAAGGTCAAGGACTCTCTTTGGTCTTAATAATATCTTTCCTTCTGAGACAGAGGGGAAGAGCTTTGGTGCCAGAGAGACCTAGGGACAAATTCTGGAGCCGTCCATTCTGGAGTCAGCTCATTGGCTGTAAAATGGCAACGCTGTCCTCCAGGAAGGGCATGTGTCAGGACTGAAATGGGATCAGGCCCAGCCCTAGAGGCTACTGTGCATCAGGTGCTCCCCAGAGGGAAGGAGGCACCCTGCCTGCCTCCACTGCCCTCCTGCACACTCCCATCCGGGCACGCCGACCAAGTGTCTCCCCAGCTTCCCTTCTCCGTCTTTAGCCGGTGCTTTCTGCTTTCCTCTAGAAGCATTTACCCTCCCCTTTCCATAGACGTTCCACAAGCCATCAAAGCCCAGGCAGACCCTTCCCAGGCAGTGTGTCTGTGTCCTGCCATCTGGATGTCCCCTTCCTCGGCTTTTAACCCCCACACCTTTGTTCTAAGATGCTTTCCACAATTGCCTTATGCTGCAGGTATGCGTGTCTGTAACCTCCACTTAGGTTTAAGTTTCTTGAGGATGATCATTTTCATTCATTTTCATTTTCATCCCCTACCCCATTCATTCCGTAAACATCTACTGAGCGTCTCTTCTGTACCAGGTCCGGGGCAAAGTGATTGGTGAAAAACAGGATCCTCTCATTACAGGGTTTATAATCATTGGCTCCTCTCCAATTCTAAGTAAATGTGTTTGTAAATATGGGCGCAATATACTTTGTAGAAACAGTATAAATAACTCATACAAAAGCCTTGAGCAGGTAATTCTTAATCCTATTTTCAGGCCTGAAGAAAGCAGAGGCTCTGAACAATGAAGTGGTTTCCCTACAGAATAATTCTACGTCCAGAAGCCTCGGCTTCTATTTCCCTCCTCCAGCCCCAGGGTGCGGTGGTTCCTGCTCCTTTCTTGCTCCTCTTTTTAATGTGCTTGAGAAGGAAGGGCACAGTTCTCCATTAGTGCTGAGCGAAGTACAGCATCGCATTTCCACGTCTGCCCTAAAATCATAATGGTTTGCTTGAGAATTGGATTTACTTTGAGATTTCCCCTGCCTTTTCCTTGCTGGACCTGGAAGGGTCCCCTAAGGTGGGTTGGCACGGGGCATTTTGCTGGGAAACTGTTAATGCACCCTGGAGCCATCTGAATGCCGATGCATGCTTATTAGAGATGATTTCACTGCATTTAAAGACATCTGCACTCAACATGGGGACGAGGAATCACGGAAATCACGGAAATCGCATTCGCCTTGGAATCCGCCCCATCGGAGCTTCGGCACTAATCGGGGTGATAATAGATGCTCTGATTACAAAGGCTGGAAGTCTTTCGGTGCCAAGAATGATTTTAGAGTGTTCTGAGCAGAGGTCAAATCGAGTTTCCTGTATCTGACAGGAAGGGAGAATACCAGACCGATTCAGGGCAGCATCCCGGGGAGCCTAAGCTCCTTGAGCAAGGTCAGGGCACCAGTTTGCCAGGGGCCGCGGCGGGGGTGGGGGGGCAGGTTAAGCAAGAGGGGCAGGCTTGTCTTTATGAGGAGGCTCTCCAGGTGATGGCTGTGGACGGAGGCAGCCCAGTTGGAAAGCGGCTCCGCTCCCGGTGCCCGGTGCTTGCTGTGGGCATTTTTCACTCTTCCAGGATGGAACGGCAGCAGCCGGGCCTGGCTTGGGAGCCTCTCCGAGGGGACCTCTCAGCCATACAAGACAGAGAGCAGCAGAAAGCCTGTCACACCTTGGGAGTTGCTCAAGATCCAAAGCACATAAACTCGCTGTAGAAGGAAGAGAAATGGAACTTTCCAGTGGCAGGTTTGTAAAGCGTTTGCAGTGGTGTGTGCTCACAAGATAATAAATACGCCAGGCCCCTCCAGTGGCTGTGAAGGTGTCAGGAAGACAGATGGGTCCGGCCTGACACAGCCAGGCCAGGCAGAGGTCACTGGACAGCAGTGAGACATGACGGATGTGAAGAGAATCTTGCTCTTAAAGGACGAGGGTATGTGAAGTGCTCACCAAACGCCTTTCTGGGAAGGCAGCATTCTCCAGCTCAGGGAACTTTGTGTATGTCATGTGCCTTCACTGGAGCTGCCAGAGACAGAGAAGAGTGACACCCAGCTGCGAATGGATGTGTAACTAAAGATGGCGCTGGTTGTTTCTAAGGTTGAGCTCACACGCACCAGGAACAGAATGCCCCCGAGTCAGTGCTTAGAGCAACCCCAGGCACTGTCACAGCCTAGGTCCTTGCACTGCTGTCTGTGAGTCTCTGTGTCTCACATGTGCCCACAACCACACACATAATCTCCTTTTGCTCATTCATAATTCAAAGAAAATTTTTTAGCTAACAGTAGAGCCATGTGGAAAAATGGAATGAGCAATGAGCTGGGAGTCAAAAATCCCTACCACCCACCAGCTATGTAAGCATCTTTGTGCTTCCCAGGTGTGAAATGAGGGAGTTGGAGTTGGAGGGAATCTCTAAGGTTCCATCTCTGCTGCCGTTTTGGTCCCTTTTGGCCACAGGCTGTCACGCACAACACCAAGGGAGTTACCCTCTCACGTATCAGAGAGCCTCATCAGTGTGTCCACATGCAGAACACACTGACTGAAGAGCCAACAGCCAGGCGTGTAGCCCTGTCCAGGCCCTGATCATTCCCAGTGGGCTTCGGTTTCCTCATCTTGTTTCTCAAGAGTATTGTAAGAATCAAGTGAGTATGTGGCCTTGGGCTGGAGCCTGATGAAAAGCATCTTGAAGGGAAGCCCATGAGTCTCCAAAAGGGACCTCTCCAAAAAGTGTCCTTCCTCAGGCTGCCTGTGAGGCCCCTTGGCCCTCTCAGCCTCTCTAGCAGCTGGATCTGGGTTGGGAGGGATGGGGGTGAAGGCAAGGGGACAGTACCTGTGTTCTCAGCTCCTGCTGGTGATCTGGTCCCTGTAGAATGCATCCTTCCTAGAAATGAGGCCATGCAGAGTGTATGAGGTGCCCAGGCTAGCTGGGCAACATCAGATGGTTTAAAACAGTGTTGTTTTCATTATTTCTATTGTAAGAATTTTCAAGACTCTATGAGGTGACAAAGATAGGAGATAGAAGAGAGCCTGACTAATCCTCAAATTTTAATCAGGTTTTTTTTTTTTTTCCTAAAGATTTATTTATTCATTTTAGAGAGAGAGTGTGTGTGCAGGGCTGGGGGTGGGGGAGAGGCAGAGGGGAAGCAGACTTCCTACTGAGCAGGGAGCCCGGGACACACAGGGCTTGACACGGGGCTCAATCTGCGGACCAGGAGATCAGGACCTGAGCTGAAACCAAGAATCCATGCTTAACCAACCGAGCCACTCAGGCGCCCCTCGGGTTTTTTCTTTATTCCTTCAAGACCAGCTGACGTGCTGTATGAGAAGAGAGGATGCCTGTAGAGACAAGGAGAGACCACAGGCCTGAAATGAGGCCAAATTGGGCTGGATCCTTCTCTACCACCACAGACACTGTGACCTCTGGGCAAGCAACCTGACCTCTGCTGGGAAGCTTCCAGCCACTCCTTCTCTCCACTGCCCCTCCCCAGTCAACTCCTGCTTCCCTGTCTGGCTGGCTCCACTGTCACTTCCCAGGGAAGCCTTTCCCATCTGCCTGGAGTAGGCTCAGTGACTCCCCCCTAGCCCATTCTCTCAGAGCGTCCATACTTTTCCTTTGGAGCAATAGTCACAGTTGTCATTAAATTTGTGCAATATTGTTAATGTTTGTCTCTGTGGAATTGCACACTGTCGGAGAACAGGGCCCCCATGTGTCTTGCTCACAGCTCCATCCTTAGACCTGAGAGGAGCCCGCAGCATAGTATGCTCAATAAGTATCTGCTGGCTGAGCAAACTCTCTCTGAGTCTTAGTTGCCTCACCTGTCAAACACCTACCGTGTTGTGAGGATTAAATGGGATAATGTGAAGCATTAAACAGTAAGGAATTAATCAAAAGGTAGTTGCTCTTCTTCTAATTGTTATTATATGTCATCCTATAGTGGCCAATAGATTTGTCTTCCTAAAGTCCATGCCCGTCAACTTACTTTCCTCTTCAGAAATGTCTGCTTCCCACAGACTAAAGCCCAATCTGCCTGACATGGACCCCAAACCTCGCAGCGTGATTTCCCTCAGCATTTCTGAACAAGCTCTCTTCTTTCCCCAGAATGAATAAGCCCTTGCCATGCCTTCACTCACTTGAACCCCTTCACATACAGTGTGGGCCCCGTTCTCCTTTTTCTGACTGGGTGGTCTCTCTGTCTGTCACCCAACACCTCACCCAATGAAGGAAACTCTAATCCATGGGAAGCATTTGGGTAGTAAAAACAATGTCATATTTACTTCATTTATTGATTCTGAAGCTTGGACCAGTTGTGGTTGGGAATTCTATACCATGGCCTATTTAATGCAAAAGTTAGGAACCTTTTGTTATCTGAAAACTTTATAGCTCTTGGTGCTTATATCTAGGATGAGAGACAGGGAAGAGCTCACAAATTTGTAGTATCAGGAAAAAACAGGGAAATGTGAATACATCCCCTCAGAGCCCACTGGCAGAGGCCATAGGTACAAGATACCAAGACAGCAGGAGGCCAGGGTAAGTACTCATGGAGAGTACTAGAGAAAAGGCTGAGAAGTTTGTCACGTCATCCATCTCCACCCTCCTGCCTGCAGCCCCATGCAGTTTTCTGGCTTCTGTGTTTTAAACCATTTTGATTAGCACCGCAGGGGAAAAATCCATTTTTAGGTCCCTCTTAGGGTTTATGACTTGGGTCAAACCCTCCTAAAGAGGTAGTTTCTTAACACCAACTACTTACACTTGGGATGCAATTCCAGAGCAATAATGGAGCAGTTCTTTGGGCGGAGGGAAAACTTACCAAGCCTCCAGAGGTCCCACAGCAGGTGCCCAGACTGGCAGCCAGGTGACAAATGGGCAAGAGGCCAATGGTTTTCTCTCCTACTTTAATATACTGCCACTCAATTCAGCATGGCTTATCTCTATGGGTTCCAAATGTGTTTAACTGTGAAAACTTGGTTCAAGCAAAACATACGCAGAACCCCACTCTGCAAATGTGAAGAGGCCCTGGCTAAAGAGGGGGGCGTTGGAATCCTGTCTGTTCCCATTCTCTCTTCCCTCGCCCCTAGAACCTCAAAGGGACCCACTGAAGCCCACTGAACATAGTTTGAAAATGCCTGGGGTAATTTTGAAAGACGCAGGCTTCGGAGCCAGTTAGAGTAAAATCCTGGCTCCACACTTGAATGACCTTATCTTGATCTTCACTTTCTTTATCTGTACATTGTATATAATAATACCCACTATAATAATATGCACATACCATAATAATAAATTATAAAATATAACTTGTAGGAAGTCATAAATAATGTATGGAAAGTGTCTGGCTCATAGTAGGTGCTCAATAAATAGCTATTTAGTAAATGCCTCAAACAAGCAGGCCCCTTTTCTGGGACTGCGGAGGATTCAGAGATGAGCAAGGGACCTCACAAAGCTGAGGGTCTGGTTCCTACTATGGGACAGGAAGGAGGAAGTACTAGAGATGAGGGAACAAAGTGCTATGTAAGGAAATCGAGGGAATGAACATTTCTAATCGGGAGGTGTGGTTGAGACTGTCGGTCACCTCCCCAGTATCTTTTTTCCACTTCTTCCTTTGTAACAGAATCCCTGATCTCCAGCTGGGATCATGGTTGCTTAGAACGAAACCATATTTCCCAGTTTCCCTTGCAGCTGGTGGCCACGTGACTACATTCTGGCTAATGAGATGTAAGCAGAGTGGAACCCTGTTTCAGAGAGTCAGAGAGGTCAGCACTGCCCCCTGTCCCCTTATTCTCCCCACCCTCTTCCTCCACCTTGATGCTAGAATGAGCACAGCTGGCTGGCTTTCTGGTATCTGTGGTTCCATTTAGCATAGTGGTTAAAGGAATCTTTGGAGAATTCGAGAGTTAATGTACCTACAAAGGGTAAATACTTTTATTATTCTTCAGTGTAACACAGTGGCTCAACAATGAACTTCAGCTGCTACATCCTGCAGCAGCTGTACTCTGAGGAAGCTGGGGGGCTGTGTGATTTTTGAATATCCCACAGCCCAAAGGGGTCCTGCTAATTATGAACAACTCTGATTTGCTGGGTATCAAAGTTCTCACTAATATTTCTAAGTCATTGAAGGGACAGTCAGTGTTCAGGATACAGTTAGTGATTTGCTTGGAGTGGAAGGTAGCAAGCACTGGTGGGCTCCAGCGCTCTGATTTTACCCAACATCCTGAGAAGAAGTCCTGAGTGAGTGGGGCTCTCCCAGGGAGCAACCAGAGCTCTAAGGAGAGGGCTCTCTCCGAGCTGGTTCCGGGGGAGGGTCTGGGCCTCCCCTCAAAGCAGACTCCTCAGACAGCTAATTAGGGTATCATTCCAGGAGAACAAAGGGCTGGGGTGGAGATGAAAATGAAGGACAAGAGGGTTGTTGAAGCTGGGATGGAAGGACATTCCAGGATTCCTCTAAGAAGAGGCAACAAGGGACTAGGGGAGGGAAGCTACCTTGAGATCCCTTTGAGGGGGTCCAAGATTCCCCTCATATCCCCAAAATAGACTGGGATGGAGCAGACAATTCTTCAGCTAGTGCTAGAAGTTCTCTTCATCCAAATCATGCCTTCTTCTTACTGCTTGAATCCTACACATAAGACCTAGAGCCTGATACTCCACCACTTGAATGGAAGAGAGAGTAAATATCTCCTTTTGAAAAAGTGTTAACACTCTTAGGATTATGAGTCAATTCAATCAGGTGACGTCCTATGATCACTGCCCTGAGAAAACGGGAATTGGGTTGAGGAGAAGAGGTTGAGAGGAAGAGACACGTGAAGGGCAAAGGGACACCAAGATGAGGGGTTTGACAACCAGGGGCAACATTGGGGCACTGGCATCATGACAGGGGCACAGAGATAATGAACGTTTACTGAACTACTCTATACCAGATGTTACACAAACTCTGGGGATAAGCCTAGGAAACAGCTGGGGCCCCCTCATTTACTTTAAGATGTTGATTTGTGCCAGATCTTGTTCTCTTCTCTTGTTCTTAAAAATCAGGTGGAACAATGTCTCTCCTCTTTGGAAAATGGGCTCTGCCCGCTCAAATCTTCTGCCTGGCTGATGGCTCTATGTGACAATGTTGGGAAGTAGTCTGCAGGATGCCTTGACATTTGCCAAGAGCCCCCATGGCTGACGGATTCTGTGCTCTGCCCCTCAGAATTGCCTTTCCCTGTGTTTCCTGTCCACCTTTCTATCCTCAGCCAGGAGAGGCTTGTGTGGGACGGAGAGGGGAGGTCCTTCAGGGGAGCACGTGGAGGATGTTGGACCACCCAAAATAGCTCATCACTGTGGCTTCACAGGGCTACTGGTAGAGAGAGCTGCGGCTCAGAACAAAGATGTGGCTGGCCAGAGAAGACGGCCAACCCACTGGGAGGCTCCAGAGGGGCAAGATGAAGACTCCCTGACTCCTGGGCCCGGGGACTCTTCTCTTCAGCAGTTTTCAGGTACAGAGCTGCTGGGCTGTGATCTGTTGAGAGGTGGGCTCACATGATCTGCGACTGCTAATGTTTATTGAGTTCTTATCATGTCCTAGGTCTTGCATTAAATACACATATGAACTTATTCAACCTCCCAACAAACCTATGAGGTAGATGCTATTGTTATCATCCCAATTTTACAGGTGAGGAAACTGAGGTACAGAGCAGTTCAGACTTGCAAAAGGTCAGTCAGGAAGTGGTGGGTCCAGGATTCCGGCCCAGTGCGTCTGGCTCCACAGTCCCTGTGATTATCTACTATGCTCCACAGCCTTTGTTCATTAATGCAATACTGAAGCTTGAAAATGATTTTTAAAAACACATAATTCACAATGGATACCAAGCTGTCCCTAGAACGAGAGCACTTCCATGCATTGCATTCCGACAAGGTATCTTTAGTGGGTGAGGCAGAGACGGTATTACAACCAGCCCTGTGGAAATATCGAACTCTGCTTCTGTCCCTGTATTTGTATCCTGCAAATGTCACCCACTATGCAAAAGAAGACGCTTTACTGACATCTGTTCTTCTTTATCCTGGCACAGAGTTGATCTACACTTTCCAGATTCCCTTAGAGTTAAGTGTGGCAAAATGGCCAGCTCTTGCCAATGAAATGTGAGTGGAAGTGATGTGCATAATTTCCAGGCTCTAGGGAAGAGTGTGTGCCTTCCCTGCTTACTCTTTTCCTTTCTACCCGCTACGTGTTGGGGGCATGGAGGCCACAGGGGATAGCAGGACCACAAAATGGACAAAGCCTAAGTCCCTGAACTGGGATGCATCTACCAACTGGGAGCACCCACCTTGGACTCTTGAACAAAAAATAAATTTCTATTGCATTTGAGCCACTGTACATTTTGGAGTCTACTTACTCCTACAGCCTAGCCTACTCTAATATACCACTTTCTTTACTGTGGTCAGAGGTTGAAGTTAGCTGCCTTTAAGAACAACAAAAACCCATGAAAGTGCTTCTGATTTCCCAGTGTTCCCATGTTCGGACAGCACGGTTCCCCCCCACCCCACCCCCTTCCCCCTATATGCAGTGATCCCAGAGCAAGGGCCAAGTAGGTTAAAACACGGGGAAGCCAGAGCATGCATTACATTACCACGTCGGTTTCCTTCAAGAGAGGTCCCGTTTCTCTTGGGGCTGGAGCCTGGGGGCCTCAGCCCAGGTGCCAAGGGGCCTCCAGAGGACATGGGGCTGGAGCGGGGACCACTGGCAGTGGTGGCCAGGCCTCCCCCAAGATGGCCATCTCCAGAGTTCTGCCTCTTGCAGTACAGCGAGGAGGAGGTGGGCAAGGAGCCCCTGTGGCTAAAGGCAGAGGCGGAGGGGTCCACGCTGTAGTGGTTCATGCCTACAGGGTTCACCAGGCACTCCTCAGTGGTGGCTGTTTTTGCTGAGCAAGAAGGCAGGACAGAGAAGAAGAGATCAGAGAGCAAGTCAAGAGGCTACCTGACAGTCTTGGCAAATGCTTCCCCAGCAGCACGGGTGCCACTATCTGTGGGGATGAGAGATGGGGAAGAATGGACCCCACATCATAATCCCAAGTAGTTCACCTCTCAACAGACTGAGACACTTGCCTCACCAACAAAGCATACTATAGTAGGGACGGGAGATGTGCCCCTGTGTGTTCAGAGGAAAAAGTGATTATTTTGGTTATTGATGACTTGAAAGTAAAATTCAAAGGTCTTTCTCCTTCCATGCAGTCTCTACCAGCTTGTCTGAATCTCCCTGCTCTGTTTTCTCTTTGCCCACCAACACTGCCCTCCTCACCCGGCCTGGGATGCTTTAGAGAGATCAAGCAGGAGTCACAATGCCCCTGAGTTAAAGAAACAATTTGACCTGGATGGTCACACAAGGGCAACAGTGCTTCCTCCCCAACACTTTCAGTTCCAAACACATGAGGGTACTGCCCTTGCTCCAAAGCTAACAAACTGGGGACGCAAATGCTGATCTGGTCAACCCCAGGGTTCTCCCTATCAACTGCAGATGAGAGATAAAGAGCCAATCAAAAGTGCAGGGGGAGTAAAGGACCTAAAGAGTCAGCCAAACTCACCATCAGCTCCGCTTTGCCCAAGTAAATCATGACTTTCTACATTTTTAAAGCTCAACCTCAGCCTGTTGAACTCTGTCTGTGACCTATACCTATGGCCAAAAGGTGTGGGGTGTTTTGTTATATTTTTAAGGACAAAGTTTAGGGGAATTATGGGGATAGAAAGAGGAAGAAAAATATCTTAGGAATTCCTTCTCTTCAGTCCCTCCCATCCCAGACAAGATCGTATGTGCCTAGTCCCATCAGTAATCATGTCTATACCACATATGGTCAGAACAAATCTTGACATCCACAAAGAAAATGTGCTAGAGTAACAAAAACCAATGGCTCCTCCAAGGTTGGCAATGCGGAAACACATTTGAGGCCACAAGATCCAGATGTCTTCTTCATGAATGAATTCCTCCCATAATGTAGATAATTGAAAGATTAAGACTTGATTTTATTAGGGGAGCTATCAATTCTTTTCATAGATGGGGATAAATATGGAATTTGCCTGGAAATAAAAGCCATTGCATATGGGATGTCACTAAAGCAGTGCCTAGAGCAAAATTTATAGCTGTAAATACTTACATTTAAAAAGAAGAAAGATCTCAAATTGATAACCTAATCTTTCATGATAAGATAGTGGGGGGGGGGCGGTACAGAGAACAAACTACACCTGAAGCAAGCAGAAGGAAGGAAATAAAGATTAAAGCAGAAATTAAGTAAAGACTAGAAGAACAATGGGGAAAATCAATGCAACCTAAGCCAACCTTTTGAAAAAAATCAACAAAATTGACAAACTTTAGCTAGATTGGCCAAGGAAAAAAGAAAAGAGTTAAATTACGAGAATCAGAAATGAAAGAGATGACATTACTACCAATCTTATAGAAACAAAATGGATCATTAAAGGATACTATGGACAATCATATGCCAATAAATTAGGTAACTTAGTAACTGACAAATTACCAAAACTGACTCAAAAAAATACATAGACAATCTGAGTAAACCTATAACAAGTAAAGAGAATGAATTAGTAATCAAAAGCTACTCACAAAGAAATCCCAGGCCCAGATGGTTTCATGAGTAGATTCTACCAAGCATTTAAAGAAAAATTAAAACCAATTCTTTACAAGCAAATTAATACAAGGAAGGGGGGCGCCTGGGTGGCTCAGTTGGTTAAGCGACTGCCTTCGGCTCAGGTCATGATCCTGGAGTCCCGGGATCGAGTCCCGCATCGGGCTCCCTGCTCAGCGGGGAGCCTGCTTCTCCCTCTGACCCTCCCCCTTCTCATGCTCTCTCTATCTCATTCTCTCTCTCAAATAAATAAATAAAATCTTTAAAAAAAAATTAATACAAGGAAGGGATACTTCCCAACTCATTCTATGAGGCCACTATTACCCTGATACCAAAACCAGACAAAGGCATCTCAAGAACAGAAAACTACAGATTAATATTTCTTATAAATATGGATGCAAATATCCTCAACAAAATGCCAGCAGATCAAATCCAGTAACATATAACATGACTTATACACCATGACCAAGTAGCATTTATCCCAGGAAAGCAAGGTTGGTTTAACAGTCAAAAATCAATTAATGTAATACACCATATAGATAGAATTTTAAAAAAAAGATAGTACAATTATCCCAATAGATCTGACAAAATTCAATGTCCTTTCCTGATAAAAAAACACTCAACACACTAGGAATAGAAGGGAACTTCCTCAACTGAAGAAAGGGCATCTACAAAAAACTTACAGCTAACACCATAGTGAATGGTGAAAGACTGGATGCTTTCCCTCCTAAGATCAAGAAAAAGACATGGATGCTTATTCTTACGACGTCTATTCAACATTTTACTGGAAGTTCCAGCCAGGGCAATTAGGTAAGAAAAAGAAAGAAAAGGCATCCAAATAGGACAGAAGAAATAAAACTATCGCTTGTATGTAGAAAATCCTAAAGAATCCATTAAAACATTATTGGAACTAATAAATGAGTTTAGCAAAGTTGCAGGATACAAGATCAATATACAAATATCAACTGTGTTTCAGATTCTGAAAATGAAGTTAAGAAAACAATTTCATTTATAATAGCATTAAATAGAATAAAATATGGAGGAATGAATTTAGCAAAAGAAGTGTAAAACTGAAAACTACAAAACTTTGTTGAAAGAAAGTAAAGAAGATCTAAATAAATGGGGAAAAATCCCAAGTTCATGAATCAAAAGACTGAATATTAAGATGGCGATACTCCCTAAATTGACCCACAGAATCAATGTAATTCTTGTCAGTATCTCAGCTGACTTCTTCATGGAAATTGACAAGCTGATTCTAAAACTCATGATTTTCGAGGGACCAAGATGAACCAAAACAATCACGAGAAAAGAACAACATAGAGCCTTCACACTTCCCAATTCCAAAGTTGACTACAGAGCAACAATAATGAAGACAGTGTGATTGTGGAATAAGAACAGGTATGTAGAGCAATGGAATAGAATCGAGAGTTCAAAAATTAACTGTGTCTGTGTTCAGCTGATTCTCCACAAGGGTGCCCAAAATCATTCCATGGGGAAAGAAAAATCTTTTCAGCAACTGGTGTTGGAACAACTGGATATCCACATGCAAAACGATGTCATTGGACCCTTAATTCATACCATATACAAAAATTCACTCAATATGGGCCAAAGACCTAAATGTAAGAGCAAAAAGTTATAAAACTCTTAAAAGGAAACATAAGAATAAATCTTCATGACCTTGGATTTGGCAAGATATTCTTACATTTAGCACTAAAAGCATGACCAACACAAGAAAAAATAGGTAAGATGGACTTTATCAAAACGTAAAACTTCTGTGCTTGGAAAGATAGCATCAAAAAAGTGAAAAGATTACCCATCGAATGGGAGAAAATACTTGCAAATCATATATTTCATCAGGGACTTGTTTCCAGAGTAACTCAATAAAAGTCAATAAAAAGAAACCAAATTTGGGACGCCTGGGTGGCTCAGTCGGTTAAGAGGCTGCCTTCAGCCCAGGTCATGATCCCAGGGTCCTGGGATCGAGTCCCGCATCGGGCTCCTTGCTCAGCAGGGAACCTGCTTCTCCCTCTCTCCCTCTGCTTGTGCTCTCTCTGTCAAATAAATAAAATCTTTAAAAAAAAAAAAAAAGAAAGAAACCGAATTTAAAGATAGGCAAAGAACTTGATGAGACCTTTCTCCAAAGAAGATATACAAATGGCCAATAAACACACAAAAACATGTTCCCCATCATTAGTCATTGGGGAATGCAAATCAAAACCACAAAGAAGTGTAACTTCCCACTCATTTGGATGTTTATAATAAAAAATCAGATAATAACAAATGTCGATGATGCTGTAGAGAGACTAGAACCCTCCTACACTGCTGGTGTGAATATAAAATGGCACAGCCTCTTCAGAAAACAGTCTGGCTCTTCCTCAACTCGTTCAAACTAGAGTCATTCTACGACCCAGCAATTCCACTCCTAGGTATCTACCAAGAGAAATGAAAACATATGTCCACACAAAAATTGGTACATGAACATTTACAGAAGCACTATTCATAATAGCCCAAAGATGGAAATAACCCAAAAAGGCGATCAACTGACGAATGGATCTACAAAATGAGGCCTATCCACACAATGGAATATTATTCAGGCATAAAAAGAAATGAATACTGATGCTGCTACAGCGTGAATGAGCCTTGAAATATTCTGCTAAGTGAAAGAAGCCAGTCAAAAAAGGCCACGGATGAAGTGATTCCACTTACATGAAATGTCCGGGACAGGCAACCCTATACAGACAAGAAGTAGATCAGCGGTTGCTGAGGGCAGAGGGGCAGTGGGGAGAGAGGGTGCTGGCTAAAGCGTATGTGCTTTTTGAGGTACTGGAAGTGTTCTACCATTGTGGCTGCACATTTCTGTGAATAAACTAACAGCCACTGTGTTGCACTCTTGTATGATTATCTCAATAAAGCTGCTTAAACAATTCCCTGAAGAAGCCTGGTGCTGGGTCTGAACACATTCTTAAGAGTGTTACACAGGCAGGTCCGGCCAACACTGCTCCGGCCGCCACGACTCAAGTAAGCTGAGCTGCCTCAGTGTACGCTTGCTCTGTGCTTTCTGCTTCGTGGCCCGGGGATGCTGCAAGAGGTCTTCAGGAACCTGGGACTCCGCACCTGCTCCCTGATGACCTCTCCTGCATCTCTTCCATCTGGATCAGAAGACGGCAGTAGGAAGATTCTAAAAAGGCCCAGGCTACAGAGCTATGTACGAGGCTGCCTCCCGAGCGGAGTGAGGAGAGGGAGACAAACACTGAGCACCTACTATGAGTTAGCACCATTCCAAGCCA